CATGTTGGCTGTTTGGAATTGCGCCCTCGCTGGGATTAAGTTCCTTTGCTCGGTGTGTATTTTCCATTGCTGGGCAGGCAGCCATAACTTGATGAGCTAAACAAACAGTTGGATTACCAAGCATTGCTTTTTAGAGGCCGGCTTTGTGACACAATGGTCTAATGGCTTCTGATATCTGCCCTGCCTCCATTCTAGACAGTGAACCAATCCCCATGTGTGTGGGGCGCATAGCGACACACAATCACAACAACCCTCGGGACCATTTCCCAATCTCCAGAGTGTTTTGTTTTCCGGAAAACCGCTTTTTGTTGTAGGTTAATGTGTGTGTTTTGGCCCTTAAAAACGAAAGCTGTTGGCCTATTATCCAGCTGATTGAATCTCAAGTCTGCGTTTGAGCCAAAGCTCCTGATACTGTATTGTTCTTAATAGGAATATTGAGAAGCCATTGAGTCACCTAATATTTATTAATTGTGTGTACTCAAGTGTTCTTCAGATTCAGTTTCGAACACGCAGCACCATGAAGTCTCGCCTTTGAATCCAAGGCTCGTGTTGTGCTTTCCTCACTTAGGGCTCATGTACGTGGGGCGTTTGGGGAAAACTCTTCTGAACGATGGAAATTGACTGCTGGAAAACTAAGGTTAAAAAAACGGCAGTTTAGCCGCGTTTGCATACTATGTTTATGCGCGTTTAGACGTGTTTTTATGCGTGTTTGCATTCAGAAGCGTTCTTAAAAGATAACCTCAGGAGACCTTCCCAAATGCCCAGAATGCACTGAAAAATAGTAAATAACTAGAAAGGCTACAATTTCTGGGGAAATTGTGTGAAGTGTTCTTGCCTCCACCAGTAGTCTACAACTGGAGTGGTCGCAGTTTAGAAATTGCCCTTCAAATTTGAGGTGGCCAGAGTGCAGTTTCAATGAATGTCAATGAGTGGCGTGAGTTGCAAACAAATGGTCATATTGTGAAAACTTAGGACTATGGCTTAGCCGTGGACATTTTTAGTGGCAGCAGGGATAGCTGAACGTTTTGATATAAGATTTGTGTAGGTGGGCTTGAAAATGAGGGAGTGATGGCAGTTTAGAATCATGTCCTGATTTTTCAGTTCACACTCTAGCTTTTGTCACTCTGCTGCCTGCTCACACACCTGGGTTCCTATGGCAACTCACTGTACAGCAAGGGCAGAGAAGAGCGGTTAAAAACAAACTGCTCCAACTTGCTCACTTCACTGGCGGTTGCCGTCTTCAAACGGTTTTGTAGTTTGACAATTATAAATCCTACACTGATGAGCTTTATATTGTGAGAATCACAAGACGCAGACCTACATTTTGATGCATAGTATGCCTCTGAAATATTAAAAATGAAGGCACAGTCGCAGTTTAGAAACTGCCCTTCAAATTTGAGGTGGCTAGAGTGCAGTTTCAATGAATGTCAATGGACGACATGACTTGCAAACAAATGGTCATATTGTGAAAACTATTAGGGCTATGGCTTAGCCGTGGACATTTTTAGTGGCAGCAGGGATAGCTGAACGTTTTGATCTAATATTTGTGTAGGTGGGATTTAAAATGAGGGAGTGATGGCAGTTTAGAAATCATGTCCTGATTTTTCAGCTCACACTCTAGCTTTTGTCAGCTCCCACTCTAGTTTTGAACATTCTGCCATTCATTCCTATGGGACCAATTGCACCACAAAAACGCTGATATTTCGTGAACCGTTCGGCGAAACGTTCCACAAAGTAATAGCACACCAATGGGGAACAATCCGCACGTTTCGGTATATTACTGTCTATGTAGTGTAAAAACTGTGGGAGGGGTTAGGGTGGTAAATTTGGCTATAATAAGAATATATATGTGAGAATAGTAAGTGGTCTGCCATGCAAGAACACTTAATTAACAATTTCTGATGGTTTGAGAGGAATAGAGAGAGCAGAAGCAGAGAGAGCAGTATGTGTTGAGATGACCTGTCTTTTCTGGTTGTATTCACTATGGATCCCATCATGCGCATAATGCGGCGCGTTCTACCATTTTGTCCTTCACGTGAAACCTAGAACTGACTGCGCTGGTGTGCCGGTCCATTTGAATACATGGAAAACGCTTTGCATGCATTTCTGATGACGACTCAGGACAGCATCTGGGTATGGAACGGTTAAAACACGCTTATAAACGCAAACGCTTATAAACACATTTACAAGCGTTTGAAAAAACGTCGGTAAAATCTACTCCTGAACACAAGTTTTGGTGCGTTCAAGAAAACGACTGTAAACTCAACTGCCTGTAAACGACGATGTGTACATGGACACATAGGAAAACAATAGGGAGAGTTCAGGAGCTGCTGAAAAAAAAAAAAAACGCAGAACAGCTCCTGAACGTCCGTTTAGCAGCTGCAGTGTACATAAGCGCTTATTCTTAAGCCTAGCACACATGATCAGAAAAATTGTATGAAAGATTCCGCTTTCGAAGCGATCGCACAATAATATGATCATTATCACACCGCTTTCGTCCAAAATTATTTGAAAGGGCACGAAACTTTTTCTCGTATGATACCAGATCGTACGATTTTCATTTAATCAGTACAGTTTTCATCCGAAAATACAATACAAATATTACATCGCTTCTGAATATTCTTTCGCACAAGAATTTTTGTAACTTTTAGCGTCCTCTTCACGTTTGATAGGAGACTAGCATGCAAAAAACAAGCAGATGATCATTTGTCTGATATTCTCATGGTGTGTAATGCTCAAGCGATCTGTCTAGCGTTTAGACGCATTTACACGTGTTCAGACAACATCAAACCTTTTTTGTGCCCAAAAGCTCCTCTCCTGAATGTGCTGGTGATGGGTTTTTATCTGCTTGTAAATGATCCTCTTCTAATATTATTATTATACAGGATTTATATAGCGCCAACAGTTTGCGCAGCGCTTTACAATATAAGGGAGACAGTACAATTACAATACATTTCAGTACAGAAGGAGTAGGAGGGCCCTGCTCGTGGAGCTTACAATCTAAAGGAATATGCCCTGTAAACACCTATGTGTGCATGGATGCCTAGGCTAACGTAGAGGTGCATTTACAGGCAAAAAAAAAAAGTCAAATGCCTGTAAAAGCGGCTTATTTTTTAAGCCCTGCGTGCATAATACCTTAAAGTGAGCCCAAACCCAACTATGATTCCATTTGGCACACTTACTGCCCTTGATCATCTAAAAAAGTAAAGATCACCCATCTCATACCACCATTCATACTGCTCTGGGCTCCTAATGGCTTCAGGCCCGGGCTGTATATGGAACACCGTTGGGTCTGTATGCAGGACGGTATGTAGATTGGCTGCTGACACAGAAGCAATCAGTCACTGCCAAAACACAGATGTCAAGTTCTGGATGTTTCCCGACACTCTAGCTGCATGGAGGCCGGAGCACGTGAGGAGGGGGACTATTCCTATCCACTGATACCAAGGATGGGGCACTGTTCCTCCCACTGACACCAATGATGAGGTACTATTCCTCCCACTGACACAAACAATGGGGCACTGTTCTTCCCACTGACGCCAATGATGGGGCAACATCCTCCCACTGACACCAATGATGGAGCACCATTCCTCCCACTGATGCCAATGATGGAGCACCATTCCTCCCGCTGATGCCAATGATGGAGCACCATTCCTCCCGCTGATGCCAATGATGGAGCACCATTGCTCCCGCTGACGCCAATGACGGGAGCACCATTGCTCCCGCTGACGCCAATGACGGGGGCACCATTGCTCCCGCTGACGCCAATGACGGGGGCACCATTGCTCCCGCTGACGCCAATGACGGGGGCACCATTGCTCCCGCTGACGCCAATGACGGGGGCACCATTGCTCCCGCTGACGCCAATGACGGGGGCACCATTGCTCCCGCTGACGCCAATGACGGGGCACCATTGCTCCCGCTGACGCCAATGACGTGGGCACCATTGCTCCCGCTGACGCCAATGACGTGGGCACCATTGCTCCCGCTGACGCCAATGACGGGGGCACCATTGCTCCCGCTGACGCCAATGACGGGGGCACCATTGCTCCCCCCGCTGACGCCAATGACGGGGCACCATTGCTCCCGCTGACGCCAACAATGACGGGGGCACCATTGCTCCCGCTGACGCCAACAATGACGGGGGCACCATTGCTCCCGCTGACGCCAACGGTGGGGCACCATTCTTCCCACTAAAACCAATGATGAAGCAATATTTCTCCCACTAAAACCAATGATGGGGCATTGGTATTAAATCCCACTGGCCACAATCCGGCCCCTCTAAAGCCTGAAGGACTTTAACTGGCCCTTTGTTTAGAACAATTGGAGACCCCTTGACTTAGTGTTCTTCAGGTCATAAACATGTTTGAGGGCCACTAGTTCTGCAGCTACCTCCAGAGCCTGTGAGCTTATGTTTTTCTGATATTCTGGGAAACCCCCATGTCTCGGATTGCTGGTAGGTAAATTTGATCCAGCTACTTTGGTTAAAAGATTGTGTACCTCACTATTGGCCTGTGAGACCACACATCTATTGAAGGGCATGTGGGAGCAGATGAGTGCAGAGTAGGCTCCAGACCACTGAGCTAGCCAAAATTTGCATACCATAATGCTCGGGACTTGGGTTCCAAAGGTGCTCCTAAAGAAACCTTCATTTAAAAGGTAGTACTTGTGATGCTTTGGGAAAGCTTTTAGGATTTAAGGCTTGCCTCAACTTGATCTTTTTTTCCAGAATATTTCTGAAAATCTTTGTGTATCTTTTCTACACTTGTTGGATTCTTATAGAAACAAATATTGGTACATTTAACAAACCTTGCTGAGGCTCCTTTAGACCTGTGTCATACCTCTGATATGGCTGCCACTTCAGGAAGAACATAACCTTTCATGTATTGTTTCACTCATCATATTTCAGTTTACGTGCTTTTGTGTCCTCTTTGATTCATTAGAATGTCGCACTAATACTGGATGATCAACTTTTGTCTAACATTTGGTCTCATTTTCCAGGTTACCTTAAATGTGACACCGATGACGGCTGTGACCCCAAAGAACAGGAGGAGGGTGGAGGAGAAGAGCTGTTTGATACAGTACATTCCTCCATAGTGTCTGGAGAGAGCATTCGATTCTTTGTCAACGTCAACCTAGAAGGACCACAGAGTACCACAGGTGGGTCAGGACTGTTTGTTGTTCCTCATCATTCCAGCAGCTGGTCATACTTTATTATTATACAGTATTTATATAGCGACAACCGTTTGTTCAGCGCTGTACATTACAATGGGAGACAGTACACGAGACAGTACAGTAACAATACAATTCGATACACGAGGGGTTCGAGGGCCCTGCTCCTTGGAGCTTACAATCTAGGAGGGAGGGGATAGGGGTACAGGAGGAAATAGCTGTGGGGGGATGGAGTGGTAGGAAGAGTGGAGGAGTTCAGTAATTAGCTGAGGGCGGGGTAGGCTTCCCTGAAGAGATATGTTTTCAGAGTGCGCCTAAAGAAGAGTAGGTGATAGTCTGATGGATTGGGGTAGGGAGTTCCAGAGGATGGGGGAAGCCCTGGAGAAGTCCTGGAGATGGGCATGGGAGGAGGAGACCAGGGAACTAGAGAGTAGGAGGTCTTGTGAGGAGCGGAGAGTACGTTTTTGCGTGGTATTTGGATACTAGATCGGTAATGTAGTTTGGGGCAGTATTATGAACAGCTTTATACGTCAATGTTAGCATTTTGAATTTTATCCGTTGGGCAATTGGAAGCCAGTGGAGGGATTGGCAGAGAGGGGTGGCGGATACGGAGTGGTTAGTAAGGTGGATGAGTCTGGCCGCAGCATTCAAGATAGACTGAAGAGGGGATAGCCTTCAGTTAGGTAAGCCGATGAGGAGGGAGTTACAGTAGTCAAGTCGTGATATGAGGGAGTGAATGAGTTGCTTAGTGGTTTCCGGGTTAGGAACGGAAGTATTTTGGAGATGTTGCGGAGGTGAAGTCTACATGAGTTTGTCAGCGATGGATCTGGGGCTGGAAGGACAGATTGGAGTCTAGGATGACACCTAGGTCTTGATGGAGAAGGGGGGGGGGGGTCAGGGCGCAGGCTAGGGGGAAAACTAGTAGCTCAGTTTTGGAAAGATTTAGTTTGAGGAAGTGGAGTGACATCCAATCTGATATGTCGCTCAGTAGGCTTGTGATACGGGTGGAGACTGAAGGGGTGAGGTGGGAGTAGAGGGATAGATTTGCGTGTCGTCGGCATAGAGATGGTAGTTAAAGCCGTGAGAGTGTATCAATTGGCCAAGGGAGGAGGTGTAGATGGAGAAGAGAAGGGGCCCGAGGACAGAACCTCGAGGGACCCCAACAGAGAGGGGGAGTGAAGAGGAGGTGGCAGCGTTATAGGTAACACTGAAGGAGCGCTGTGATAGGGAGAGAGCGGAGGCTCGGAGGCCAAGAGAGTGTAGTTTTTTTGAGGAGGAGGGGATGGTCAACCGTGTCGAAAGCCGCAGAGAGGTCGAGGAGTAGGAGCACTGAATAGTGGCCATTAGCTTTGAGCAGTTCGTTGGTGAGTTTGAGTAGGGCAGTTTTGGTGGAGTGTAGGGGGCGGAAGCTAGACTGTAGGGGGATCAAAGAGGTTGTTGTCGGTGAGGTGGGAACTCAGGTGATTATAGGCTAAGTGCTCTAGGAGTTTGGATGTAAATGGCAGCAGGGAGATGGGTCTAAGGTTGTTCAGGTTGGTGGGATCCAGGGAGGGTTTTTTTTTAAAGTATGGGAGTGATGTGCGCGTGTTTTAGAGGGGAGGGGAATGTGCCGGTAGAGAGGATGGAGGAAGAGGGTGATCGTAGACTTGTGAGGGGACAGGGTCAAGGGGGCAGGTGGTGAGGCGGGCTTCAGAGAAGACCTTAGTGACCTCTTCAGTGGCAGTGAGATCGAAGGAGTGGAGTGTTGAGGGGTTTTAGTGTGAGGGATGCTAGGTGGGGTGGAAGTCTGAGCATGGCGATGTCCCTATGAATTGCGTTGATCTTGTTTTTGAAGTGGTTAGCAATCTCGTGGGGCGGTGAGTGAGGTACTGGGTGGAGGTGGGGGTAGAGAGAGTAGAGAGTTAAAAGTAGAGAAGAGCCGGCGAGGACTGGAGAAGGTATTAATGAGGGTAACAAAGTAGACTTGCTTGGCAGTGTGAAGGGAGGAAGTGTAGGTTAGGAAGGCATATTTATATCGGGTGAACGCTTGTTGGGATCTGGGTTTGCGCCATAGTCGCTCCAGCGCACGACTGCGTCGTTTGAGATTTTTGGTATGGTCAGTCTGCCAGGGTTGTAGGGGTCTAATGCTTCGTGTTGTTGGGGATGCTAGCGAGTCATACATGTTCTGATTCATGTGTCCTCATCAGTGAGGGTGTCTGCAGATCCATGGTTGGCCAGATATGTATGCACTAGCCAATTACTTCCTAGCTGGATTATTGTATTTTTTTTTTTTTTTTGTTGCACTGGAAATTTTTGAGCGTGTTTTCAGCCTGATAGTATTTGCTTTTTGCTAATAATATTCTTTTAACATTGGGGTTAGAGGTTATGTTCACTATAAATCAGACCACTTCCTATTGCCTTTCCTTAGGGAAACCAATAAACTCACCAATAGGAACAAACTTATTTTCTCATTTTCTTTCTGCTTTTCCAGCAGTCCTTCACCATCGTAGGCTTTGCATTCCATGCTGCCGTTTTTAAACATAATGTCATCAGCATCCAGCTTCTTCTATCTGTGCCAGCCCACCGATTATGTCATGCCACATCTGGCGTATGTGCCACACCAGATCTGGGGTGACTTGTTGTTGAGCCATAACAACTTGCTTCATATCGCATACTGTGCATGTCCCAGATCTCTGACAGCGCATGTTCTGTATGAAATGTGGGGTGGCCCTGTGAGGCCAAGGCTATGTCACCATTGTTTTTATGAAATTGAAATATTGAATTTATTAGTACTTGGGAAAAGGGTGCTTTACATTTTATTTTATTTTCTTTATTTTATTTTGTATTTTTACACTGTTCCTGTAGGAGCAGCCAGCCGCACCATCAGATCTCTCTCTCCCCCCCCCCTCCCCCCCCCTCTCTCCCCCCTCTCTCCCCCCTCTCTCCCCCCTCTCTCCCCCCTCTCTCCCCCCCTCCTCCCCCCTCTCCCCCCCCTCCTCCCCCTCTCTCCCCCCTCTTCCCCCTCTCTTCTCCCCCTCTCTCTCCCCCTCTCTCTCCCCCCTCTCCTCTCCCCCCTCCCCCCGTCTCTCTCTCCCCCCTCTCACCCCCCCCTCTCCCCCCCCCCTCTCTCTCTCACCCCCCCTCATCTCTCCCCCCCTCTCTCTCTCCCCCTCTCTCCCCCCTCTCTCCCCCCCTCTCTCCCCCCCCCTCTCCCCCTCTCTCTCCCCCCCACTCTCCTCCCCCTCTCCCCCCCTTTCCTTCTCTCTCTCCCCCTCGCCTCCCCCCGCTCCTCTTTCCCCCCCGCTCTCTCTCCCCCCGCTCTCTCTCCCCCCCCTCTCTCTCCCCCTCTCTCTCTCCCCCCTCTCCCCCCCCTCTCTCCCCCCTCTCTCCCCCCTCTCCCCCCCCCCCCCCTCTCTCTCCCCCCTCTCTCCCCCCTCCTCTCTCCCCCCTCTCCCTCCCCCCTCTCTCTCCCCCTCTCTCCCTCCCCCCTCTCCCTCCCCCCTCCCCCCTCCTCCCTCCCCCCTCTCTCTCCCCCCTCTCTCTCTCTCCCCTCCCCCCCTATCTCCCCTCTATCTCTCTCTCCCTCTCCCCCCTATCCTCCCCTCTATCTCCCCCCTCTCTCCCCTCCCCTCCTCTCTCCCCTCCCCTCCTCTCCCCTCCTCCCTCCCCCCTCTCTTTCCCTCTCCCTCCCCCCTCTCTTTCCCCTCCCCCTCCCCCCCCTCTTTCTCCTCTCTCCCTCCCCCCCTCTCTTTTCCCTCTCCCTCCCCCCCTCTCTTCCCCTCCCCCCCCTCCCCCTCCCTCTCTCTCTTTCCCTCCCCCTCCCCCCCTCTCTTTCCCTCTCCCTCCCCCCCTCTCTTTCCCTCCCCCTCCCCCTCCCCCCCTCCCCCTCTCTCTCTTTCCCTCCCCCTCCCCCTCTCTCTTTCCCTCCCCCCCTCCCCCTCTCTTTCCCTCCCTCCCCCTCTCTCTTTCCCTCCCCCTCTCTCTTTCCCTCCCCCTCCCCCTCTCTCTTTCCCTCCCCCCCCCCCTCTCTCTTTCCCTCCCCCTCCCCCTCTCTCTTTCCCTCTCCCTCCCCCTCTCTCTTTCCCTCCCCTCTCTCTTTCCCTCTCCCTCCCCCTCTCTCTTTCCCTCTCCTCTCCCCTCTCTCTTTCCCTCTCCCTCCCCCTCTCTCTTTCCCTCCCCTCTCTCTCTTCCCTCCCCCTCTCTCTTTCCCTCCCCCTCTCCTCTTTTCCCTCTCCCTCCCCCTCTCTCTTTCCCTCTCCCTCCCCCCTCCTCTCTTTCCCTCTCCCTCTTTCCTCCCTCCTCTCTCCTCATCCCTCCCTCTCCCCCTCTCTCTCATCCCCCCTCTCCCCCTCTCTCTCATCCTCCCTCTCCCCCTCTCTCTCATCCCTCCCTCTCCCCCTCTCTCTCTCATCCCTCCCTCTCCCCCCTCTCTCTCATCCCTCCCTCTCCCCCTCTCTCTCATCCCTCCCCTCTCCCCCTCTCTCTCATCCCTCCCTCTCTCCTCTCCCCCTCTCTCTCATCCTCCCTCTCCCCCCTCTCTCATCCCCTCCCTCTCCCCCCTCTCTCTCATCCCTCCCTCTCCCCCTCTCCTCTCATCCTCCCCCTCTCCCCCCTCTCTTTTCCCTCCCCCCCTCTCCCCCCTCTCTCCTCTCATCCCTCCCTCTCCCCCTTTCTCTCTCATCCTCCCCCCTCTCCCCTCTCTCTCACCCCTCCCTCTCCCCCATCCCTCCCTCTCCCCCCCTCTCCCCCATCCCTCCCTCTCTCTCCCCATCCCTCCCTCTCCCCCATCCCTCCCTCTCCCCCATCCCTCCCTCTCCCCCTCTCCCCCCCTCCTCCTCTCTCCCCTCTCTCCCCCATCTCTCCCTCTCCCCCCTCTCCCCCTCTCCCCCTCCCTTTCCCTCTCCCCCTCTCCCCCTCTCCCCCTCTCCCCTCTCCCCCTCTCCCCCTCTCTCCTCCCCCGCCCCCTCCCTCTCACCCCCCCCTCTCTCCCCCCCTCCTTTTTCTTTCTT